ACAGCCTCTGTGAGCGAGCGAGACAGAGAGAGAGAGAGAGCTGGAGAAAGCACATTTTCATCTATTTAATATAGCCGTAAAAAATAAAGTAAGAAATCATTCCAATGTGTACTATAAGACAGTAAAAAAAAAAAAAAAACTGTTTAAAAGGGGAGTTATTAGTAAAATATGCATAAATAAAAAGAAAGAATGCTAACTAGGTAACATAAGATAAGAATAAACAAGTTTAAATTATTTGTTATTGGTTGTGATCATATTCTAAAGATGTTTGGATTATTGAAAAGTATGCAGCTCCCTTTCCTATGAGTGTTGAGAGCTGTATCCATAAATTAATTTTGTGCTCAGAGTGCACCAGATTGATGCATTTAACTTCAACATTAAAAAAATTAAATCTTCCCAGGGCTGCATGCCCCCGGACCCCCCTAGAGGATGTGACGTCCACCTTTGTTAAAAGTAGCTCTCATCCTAAAAAAAGATTGGAGACCCCTGTTATAGAACGATACATTTGACAATGTTAAGCTTGGCCTACCATTTTATTGGAGCGATGAGGAACAGGTGGGGATTGAAAAGGCCCAGCTGTTCAAAGTGGGGAATGACAGAAAAAGTTTGAGAACCACTGCAGTAGAGGAACAAAATACAAATATGAACCTGAAAATAAGCAGAATAGGGCCCATTAAAAAAAAAGACTGTTTTATTGTTCATGTTGTACACACTGAGTTTTAAATCTAAAGACTTCATTTTTTAAATGTGGTTATACACTAAAAAAAACGTTAAATAATGGTCACAGACAGGGAATTTTTTATATAATTTTGATGCTCTTTAATAGTTGTTGTGAAGGGATCATGAATATGCATTCACTCATAATGAATGAGTTGTTGAAATAGATTGTTCCTGTTTTTTCCTGGTGAATTTTTCCAGTTTTCTTTCAAATGTATAGATTTCCTTCAAGTTTATAACATGAAAAAAAAATTCTGTTGGTAAACCAAATGTTCTGCAGAAAAAAATGAAATCATTTTCACAGAGTTTTCTAAACAGTTGAACAGTTTTACACTACTTTATGTTCTCGAATACTGCAAGGAAAAAACTCACAATTAAATATTTGTTTAGATCATTGCCAGTCATCCTCTATCCTTTTGTACTCAGCTGAAAAGCTTCTGAAACTTTGGTTTGAGCATCTCCAGGTTGCTGTTGTTCTGCATCTGCTGCGGCAGGCTGCCAACCTTCATGATCACCTCGTGAGCTTCCGCAAACAACTTTTCACCGAGAGCCTTCTTCACTCGCTCCCTCCAGGCGGTCAGCTTCTGCCGGCCTTCAAACACATCCAGGCCGGTGGCAACAGGCTGTGAAACACACGGCAAAGCTCACCACATTTCAATAAAATGTACATGAAATGTTAAACTGCAGTTTCTCTGCCTTGCATGCAGACAGGGTCGTCAAAATGTTATTCTGACACAGATAAATAGATTTAATTTAATTTTTTTATAATTCTTAAATATTCCATCATGATTTATCCAGAGCTCCCGAAGGGATGTTGATTCTGGGCTGTACCAATCCTGCTGAAACGTACATTTTCCTTCATAATATTTCAGGGCTCGATATTTACGCACACCTACTTAAACTCTGTGTATGGGCAAGTGTATTGCCTAAGGAAAGCAAAATATAAATGTGATCTATATCAGAGAAGTCCCTATCTAATCTCGAAGTCAGTGGTGGAAGAAGTCTCCAGATTATAATAGTTGTATCACTTATTCTCTAGGGGTAATAAAACACTGGATCCCACATCTCAAATTATGCAATTTAAACTTTGCAAACATTGTTACTGATTAGTGCTCCTCTTGACTTCATGAACTTTATGGGTAACATTTGTGCCCTTTAAAGATCTGCATCACATTTCTTTAAAAAACATGTCACATGTGCTTGTATGCCAAAACACCCTTGTTAAAGTCCCAGGGTTATCATTATCATATTATTGTGCATAAAGCGATGAAACATTTGCATTTATTTCCACAAGAATAAAAGTAATTTCCTGTGAAATCATAATAAAACCATCACATCTCTAGCATTAGTAGCAGGAGTAGTAAGACTTACCTTTATTTGCAAGTAGTACATTGTATTACAAACAAAAGTGGTACTACCTGTATGATCTCAACTATAGCCACCAGATCAGCCACAGAGATTTTGTCGCCAACTATGAACGGTTTGTTCTGCAGGAACTTGTCCTCCAGCATTTGGAGCGACTGATTCAGATCCTCCACAGCAGCGTCCATCTTCTCCTTCGGGACCTCGGAGCCCATGATGACAGGAAACAGAGCCTGTGAAGACCAATGAAACTTTGGTAAGAACAGAAGCAGTCCATAGTCAGGGGAAGTCCTGCCCATTTCCATTGGACCAACATGGCACCTCATTTTAGAAAAGATAAGTATGGTAGGCAACGGCGAAAGAAAAATAGTTTGATCCTGTTTAAAATGTGCCATGAATAACACATATGAAGCTAGTCAATATAAACATCTGGATGAGAAAGAAAACACATCCTAAAGTCACATAATAGATCACTTTGTTTTCAAAAACAACAGCCAAACCATGGCAATGACATGCAGTCAATTACAAGGCAGCCCTGCCCTAAAGCATACGCTGCTTTATCGCCAATTTTACTGTAAATGAGACAATAAATAAAATGTTTTACCTCATACTATACAGATGAAGACTTAAAAGAAGTCAAGAAAAAAATCTTAAATACGGCAATAAATCAGGTGAGAAGAAGGGCTATTTTCTCATAGACTTCTATCCAATCTGCCATCTTTTTGCAGCCATTAGAGTGGCCCTCTGCTGGAAATCTGAGAAAATTTAGGTTCAAGCAATCCGCATTGGTTTCAGGTTTTCCAACCCTGCAGGTGCTGCTTTGTGGGACAAGGCCTGTTGATGAATAATGTGTGTGACGAGAGTTTTATTCCACTGAGCAGTTTCAGACAAAACGTATATGTACTATGACAAACCGTAACTTTTCTGACATGCAAAATTATCTTTAAAATTGACAAGCATCATATGTGTAATTCATAGCACATATCAAATGGGATCAAAAAAAAGTTTTGTCTCCAGCCCCTGACTACTCTACATCATTTATCCTACATAAGGTCTGATGGAGAGTGCTAAAAGGTTGTCCTTTCAATAGGAATATACTATAAGCCTCAAATGAATGTGTCCAAAATCAAAACATTGTAAAGATCATAGCCTGCTCAAAATCAACACATAAACATTATAATTTTGAGCCTTTTAGCATGCTGATGTTAGCATTAAACAACTCACAGGGCTCCTAGCATGACTGTAGATGTGCCTTGTTAAAGAATGATCAAAAACTGCCTAAATATATAATGTCCATACATTTAAACTAGGGCCGGGACTTTAACGCGTTAATTAAGATGAATTAATTACACAAAGATTAACGCGTTAAAAAAATTTACGCATTTTAATCGCACCGCGGAACGTTTCTCACTGGATGAGTTTCAGGGGTACCGATTATACTGGAGCACCAACTAACGTTCATGACTTCAGACAACAACAAACCACAGTGAACAATTGTCACACATGAACGAAGAAGCTGATGAGACCGCTTTGGTTGGCCCCGTGAATGGGACATTTTGTTTTAAAAAACGGACGGATGGAAGCGTCAATAAGAGCACGGTTGTTTGCAAATTATGCAAAAAGGAATTCGCATATCACCGCAGTACATCAAGCCTCAAGTATCACCTCAATGCAAAACATATAGCAGCTA